CACTTACTTCCTTTATTTATGATACCAAAGCGGCAGTCAGAAGCAGTGACGGCAGAGTCAAATGTTGAAGTGGGCGGGGTTAAACGTTTAACTCCGCCCACATTGAGGTCTGCGGGTCTGCAGTCAGGGGTACATGGAGGTGGTAGGCGTGTCCACAGAAACATGTATGTGAGGAGGCGTTCCCACTGATTGGCTGGTTAAGTGGCCGAGAAGAAAAAGAAAATAGCGCCATCTACAGGAACATCAGAGTACTGGACTCACTATTGATTGAACTCTAGTGGCTAAATGAGACAAAAGCAAAAGGCCTTTTTTGAGCCCTCCATGTGATAGAATATGGAAGCAAAAACTATCAATTAAAAGCATCTGACAGAAAGAAGTATGGACCAAAGTTTAACTACAAGCTAACAGTCTCCATTTGCCTCTGCTTCTTTAATATTCCTTCCCCTTTTGATATTTTTTCTCCGTCTTATGTGAGTGTGGTTGGTTCTTTCCTTGATCATCTACTGACCAGTCAGGCTCATTGCCTCTATCCAGGGAAGCCTCTGCTTTAACAGGCTTTGATGTATCCGGGAGCAGCTAACAAGTCATTCCTCTCTGAAGTGTATTAGCTGGAAATTGAGCCTTTTGATCTTTCCCTTCTTTAATTTAACCTTGTTTGTAGCTGTGGGACTTTGTCTGAAAGCAGACAGCATTTAATGGTATTTGCATTTCATTGACAGTGTTTGATTTAAACAGTTTTGAGTGTTAAACAACTTTGGTTTACTAAGACACTGATATTTAATACCTGCAGTTCATATATTTTATGCCTCAGTGAACTGACTTTGAAAATCTGGTTTGGTGTGTATTTTGTGTATTCAACTCCTCGTGAATACAGAATCACTGCCAAATTTTCAAATGGATGATCATGACTGGAATGAATTGATTAGCTTGGAACCTGTTCAGATATTACTGATCATGTGCCAACTTTAACTACACAAGCATGTAATTAATCATCTTCAAGATCAACAACAGCAGCAGTCACGTATAAGCAGTAGTGTGTGTGTGCCGTGTATTAATAAAGTCAGGAGCACAGAAGAGAAAACTCACTCATTTACTGCTGTAGAGGTATACCTGAAGACCTTTCCAGGGTAAAAGTTTACTTTTTAAGGTAAAAACAACAAATGTTAGTTTGATGAAGAATGACAAATAGCAAAAATAGCATTTTTTCCCTTCTCATTGAGGAAGAATTTAACAATCTCACAGCCTGAGGAAAGCAGCTGTCTTTAAGTCCGGTGGTATGGCAGCAGATGCTTTTGTACCTCCTCAACAGGCTGTGGCTCTTTTAGGATCCTATGGGCTCTATCCAGTCACCTCACAGATATAACTGATGCTGAGTACCAATGATGATCACAGTAAAGGAGGCCTGTGTGGTAATTTAACATTGAAAGTATAAAGACTTACACACATAACCAGTAACATTAGTGTTTACAAAAACCCATCTCTCTCTAGAAACATGCCACTAACAAATCAACACTCACTGAACACTTGATTGTGTGAAAATTACGCTCCTGGACGAGTGTTTGTAGTCTGTTCCAAATGGACTTGGCCTGTTTCCTCTGTCTCGAGCAGCACGATGACTGACAGCATGAGAGCTGCCAGTCAGACTGGTCGGATTCTGCTCACAGCATACTGAGAAAAAAATGTTTGACAAGGGTTGAAATATGTGGGCACTGGAATCATGAGTGCACGTAAACATATACAGAGACCAATGCTGTATAATCAGGTTTGGGGAGTAACTGATTACATGTAAAGGAGTTATGTTACCAGGATACAAAAAAAGGGAATTGTAACTGTGTGTTCAATAACCATTATCACAGCTGGAAGGAAGACTAAGCAACACTATACAATCAACAAGATCTGCCTTCCAGCTGTGGAAATGGTCTATAAGTGACTGCCTGAATTTGCTTCATGAAAAGACATTTTTCTCTAAAAACACACTGAAAAGACATATTTTAGATGCTTAAAATCTTCCTCATTTCTTAAATTACATTGTTCTGTTGCACATTCATATTTTTAAGCTCTGCAGTACAACCACAGTCTGATCTGTCGGCCAACTGGCGGTAATGAGGAAAGGTGCGAGTACTGCTCTCTTATTTTCCCCATGCACGTCTGAAGATTGAACTGGCATCCTTCTGGTCACAAGTCCACTTCCAACCTTACCTGATTATGGTGCTACATGAGAAGTCAGGGGATCACCAAAAACATCTAATAAATGTTGTTGTTGTTTCACTTCAAACCACAAATGTGAACCTCATGGTGGCGCTACATGGGAAGACAGAGGATCACTAAGGTCATTAAAGTCGTCGTATGTGCAGAGTTTGACACTAGAAGGATGTTTGCACATGTATCTGCTAAGAGTGGAAAGTTTCTCTGAGCTCATTGAAAATTAGATTTTAAGGGGCGGGTCCTATGGGCATGATTTGTGACATCACAAATAGTTTGTAGGTCAATCCTGGTCCAATATGCAACTTATACAAGTGTGATGTAGAAACCTGAAGCCACCAGTGCTCAAACACTGAGAATGGGCTTTAGAGGGAAGTAGGAGACATCTTGTGTACATTACAACAGGAAAACTATAGAAATTAACAAAATTAGCATATTCATAGATTCTTAATGAGGTCGAAGGAGTAGATTACTTTTTATGGATTTCAATGTGGAAGTCCTTATTGTTCCAGACAGACTATCTGTATATACTGTATGTCTTAAAGGTCCAGTGTGTCCAACATTTAGGATGTGGAGGATCTA